TCAAATATCAAATTATTACTTTTTTTTTTTTACCAAATGGGTTAGATGATTATTTAGTTAGATTTACACTTAAAAGAATATGTTGTAAATCTAGAAAATAAATGTTTAATTTTTTTAGTTGGATTGTGTTTAGACTCAAATGAATATATAAATCTTTATAATATAATATTATTTCATGAATTTAGTCATTTTGAATATGTTTTTAATTTTTAATAAAATAGTTTTTTTAGGTACTAATTTCTTTATACTCATTAAATATTATTTTATAGTTATTTATATAAAAATATATAATTATAATGATAAATCTAAAATAATATATGAAAAATTTTAATAGTCAACACGTATTAATAGAAAATTGATAAAAACTTTTCTTAGGCCCCTGAATCTAGGTAAAAACTTACTTTTAACCTTTTATCTTAATAAATTTGTAAGTTTTAGCCCGTTATCTTATATTATGATACTTTTAACCTTTCACCTATATAAATTGAAGAAAATAATCCTTACTTAGCGTTAGGTTATAACATTTTGTTAATTCTGTTAACTGATTATTAATTTTATTAACTGATTATTAGTTATATTAACTAACTATTAATTTTATTAACTGACTGTTAGAATTTTGTTAACAAAACTTACAAATAAAATTGAATTTAAATTTCATGTTTTGTATAACAGAATACTAACAGTTAGCTAACAGAGTTAATAATCAGGTAACAGAACTAACGGTCAACTAATATGACATTAAATAAGAGTTATTTTCTTCAATTCGTATAGATGAGGGGCTAAAAGTATAATAGTATAAGGTGAGGGTTAAAACCTATAAATTTATTAAGGTAAAAGGTTAAAAGTAGATATTTGCCTCGAATTTATCCTAAAATAGCATTTAATCTTCTAAACTAAAAACAAAGCAGATAAGTTTTAGAACTCCACTAGTAATGCAAATAAGTCTTTTTCATTCATGGATGTTCATGCTTTCAAGATGATATTAAACATGAAATACCATTTGGCCCATTCGTGAGAAAGGACTTACTTGCATTATAAGTGGAGTTTAAG